AGTATATATATATATATATATATATATATATATATATATGTGTGTGTGTGTGTATATATTATTATGTGTATATACACATAATAATAATATATATATATGTGTGTGTGTATGTATAGTTTATAAAACTCATTTGCTGTCTACTAACTGCAATCGGTATCCAAAAATGAACATATCTTTCCACCAGAAAAAAAAATACAACAACAACAACAGCAAACAAACATTCTGAAACAAAACAAAAATAAATGAAGTATTAATAAAATCCTGTATTTATAAAATGCTGCATTTGTAGTTACTTTGCAAATATTGGTCAAATCATCGTGTTTCTAAACATAGTTTGGAACAGCATGAAGGTGAGTAAATGATGGCAGAATTGAAATTTTACAACAACTAACACTGTGATCCACAGACCAATCACCTCGACACCTGCAGACTCCAGAAATGCCAGTTTTATAACCTTAATGCTGATAAACTAAGAGAAATAGACTGTATACTGGCCAAAACCTGTTTTATTTCCAATCACTCTCAGTTTCTCTCGTCATCCTGGCTCTATTCTCCCCATTATTTCTGGCTCAACAGCCCCAAGTTGCTGTTTGCTGTATTTTTGCCCAAGGCTGAAAGTTTGGGCTGTAATTGTGCAACTCAAGTGATTCCCATCCCTGGCAGGAGACTCGCTCCTCATCCTGTCAAGCTCACAATAGGCTGAATGTTCACAATGAACCGCTCACAGTCTTTATGGAAAGGAAAGGAAAGGACGTGACATGTGGCCAAGTATGATGACCCATACACAAAATTAGTGCTCTGCATTTAACCCATCCAAGTGCACACACACACAGCAGTGAGTAGTGAACACACACACACACACACACCATGAACACACACACGGAGCAGTGGTCAGACATTTTTGCTGCGGCGCCAGGGGAGCAGTTGGGGGTTCGGTGCCTTGCTCAAGGGTCTCACCTCAGTTGTGGTATTGAGGATTCGAACTCGAGACTTGAACCCGCGACCTTTGGGTTACGAGTCCGACTCTCTAACCATTAGGCCACAACTGCCCCTACCATATATATGGATACGGATGGATATGGAAATACATTGCACGTAATAGGCTGAATGTTCACAATGAACCGCTCACAGTCTTTATGGAAAGGAAAGGAAAGGACGTGACATGTGGCCAAGTATGATGACCCATACACAAAATTAGTGCTCTGCATTTAACCCATCCAAGTGCACACACACACAGCAGTGAGTAGTGAACACACACACACACACACACCATGAACACACACACGGAGCAGTGGTCAGACATTTTTGCTGCGGCGCCAGGGGAGCGGTTGGGGGTTCGGTGCCTTGCTCAAGGGTCTCACCTCAGTTGTGGTATTGAGGATTCGAACTCGAGACTTGAACCCGCGACCTTTGGGTTACGAGTCCGACTCTCTAACCATTAGGCCACAACTGCCCCTACCATATATATGGATACGGATGGATATGGAAATACATTGCACGTTACAAACAGAGGAAAAGGATTTTCCCTAAGAATTTGTTCTTTATTATTAAGAAAGCTGTGTATTTTTGTCTCCTGATTCGGTCCAGCTGGACTTTTATAGCAAAAAGCAGTTACACTGTTTTGTATTCTCTCAGAAAAAAATTAGAAACATAGCACATACACTACTGTTCAGAAGTCTGAGGTGTTAAGCTCACCAAGGCTGCATTTATTTGATCTAAAAAAAACACCGTAATTACAGTAATATTATGAAATATTTGTACAATTTAAAATAACTGGTTTCTATTTAAAGGGGTCATATGATGCTGCTAAAAAGAACATTATTTTGTGTATTTGGTGTAATGAAATGTGTTTATGCGGTTTAAAGTTAAAAAAACACATTATTGGCGCGACTCGGCAGTATGTTTAAGATTTCCCTTTGCGACCAGCACAGATCAGCTCTAGGCATGGCGAAGCGGATATCGTCCTCTTTTGGAAGACCAAACAAAGTAGTTTCGCTTTTACAACGAAGCACACAGCGTCTTAACGACATGGCGGCGGAAACAACAAAACTACAGCGAGAATAAAAGTTACTCCTTCTTTCTTTGCGTGAACATTTGGGCGGTGTTATGCAAATCTTCCCACATAGTGAGGTAGGTATGTGGGGGCGTGTTCGAACGAGCCGTTTTAGGTAGGTGTGGCTAACTCTTAACTTTTATAAAGAATATCTCTTTGGATTTGAGACTTTAGTCTTTGCAACTTTACAGATCTTCTTTATGCACCAAGAGCTTGTAACACTCTAAAGAGAAAGGAAAAAATGAAATCGCATCATATGACCCCTTTAAATATATTGTAAAATGTAATTTATTTCTGTGATGCAACGCTGAATTTTCAGCATCATTACTCCAGTCTTCAGTGTCACATGATCCTTCAGAAATCATTCTAAGATGCTGATTTGCTGCTCAAGAAATATTTCTGATTAGTATCAGTGTTGAAAACAGTTGTGCTGCTTCATAATTGTGTGAAAACCATGATAGATCTTATTTTTCTTTTTTTTTTTTTTTTCTTTGATGAATATAAAGTTTAAAATAACAACATTTATTTGAAATAGAAATTCTGAAATATTATAAATGTATTTTGTTACTTTTGATCAATTTAATGCATCCTTGCTGAATAAGGAAATATAAAAATGTATTTTAAAAATATAATAAATCCTGACCACAAACTTAGTGTATATCATAATGTATTGTAACATGAAAAAATATGATCAATTTCTGTCTGAGGTGTCAAATGTACTGGTTAACTTGGATTAAATTTACCCACAAGGCCATAAAACAACAAAATTAGCAAAGCAACATTTCTTCTTTTGTTACTTTTGATCAATTTAATGCATCCTTGCTGAATAAGGAAATATAAAAATGTATTTTAAAAATATAATAAATCCTGACCACAAACTTAGTGTATATCATAATGTATTGTAACATGAAAAAATATGATCAATTTCTGTCTGAGGTGTCAAATGTACTGGTTAACTTGGATTAAATTTACCCACAAGGCCATAAAACAACAAAATTAGCAAAGCAACATTTCTTCATAGAACTGCATAAAATTTGTCTAGATATTGTTTCTATATGTTGTGCATTATTTTTTTGTATTAAAAATATATAAATATAAACATTTAATAAATTGAAAACAAAAAAATATTTTGTATTTAAAATATTTTTATTGCTGATAATTATTTTACTTTTTATATATTTATTTTGTGTATTTTCATTTTTTTCCCCTCAACCTTATAATTCAGTCATATTAAAAAATAACAAATAAAATAAATAGCTGTCTACTAACTCTGGTTTTCAGTATGCATATATATATATATATATATATATATATATATCATAGAGAACTGATATCATAAATCAATCTCAATCCAGCATCATGTCCCTCACAGTGAGAACCAAAAAAAAACTGTAACCTTGATGAATGGGTGGGCTGAAATATATCCCCCTCTTCCACCTCAGTCCACCTGGCACAGATAAGCAGAGAAAGGCCAATCTCTAGATAGCCAGAGATCCCGGCCCATCCGTCTCCCAAAGCAACACAACTGAAGATATTGAAATAATAACTCAGGGATTACCAATATGTCAGTGTAGAGCTTCCTCATCTCCTCACACCTTTTCATCAGCTGTCTGAGATCGGCCTCATGCTTCTCGATGGCCGCCTAGAGATAAAGGAAGAGCAGGTGTTACGGCTGCACTTTCTCCTTCTTTCCATTTCTGGAGAGGTAGCACTGGAATTCTTAGTGCTATCAGCCTCAACGGCTTTTGATCACCGGTATTTCTTTTCAACCAGACCACATCCGAAAAGCTTGTGAAAAGGTGCATCAAAGAAGCAGCTCTCAAGGGTCTGTGCTTTATATGATCTAGATTAACTACCTTTCTCTGTGGAGTTGTTCAAGAATAATGCAGCATATAGGATTTTTTAAAGAACAACATGGCCGGTCTTTTCAGTATAATGAAAATGAGTAAGCATTATAAAAGCATCATAATGTGTCATGTGACTTGCGTGCTGTTCTTCTGAAGTCATATGATAGCTTTGTGTGAGGACAAGACTGACATTTGAATCATTATTCACTAATTTGAATCATTCCTTTGAATCGGCTCTTTTGATCCAGTCTGATTGATTCTTGAGTTCAACTCACCGAATCACTTATCTGGTCACAGTCATTAAGAGCTTGCTTGAAGAGAAGATTTTCCATATTCATTGGTATTGACTATACATAATTCAAAATGTTTCACAGAAGAAACTACTTACATCACAATAACCAGAAGACATGGCATTATTACCCAAGCTTTCGATCAAAAAAAATTGACATTTGAATCATTATTCACTGAGAGAAATAGCTGTGTCCAAGCTGAGTCATTCTTTTAAATCTTTGGATCCAGTTCAGAGTCATTCAGATTGATTCTTGAATTCAACTCACTGAATCAATGATCCATTCAGTCATTAAGAGCTTGCTGATGAAGAGCTGATTACTTACATTTTAAATACTTTGAATATATTACATAAATAACATATGCTTATGTTTTTATGATGCCTTTGCTTTTTTTTTTTTTTTTGGATAGGAAAAAAGTTCTTATGTATTGTTATTGACTAGGACATGATTCAAAATGTTGCGCAGAGATAGCTACTAAAATAAACCACATTAATCAGAAGACATGCCATCATTACCCATGATTTCTATCAAAAAGATTGACTTTTGAATCATTATTCACTGAGAGCTTTGTCCAATTTGAGTCATTCTTTTGAATATTTTGATTCAGTTGTCAATCTGATTGATTCTTGAGTTCCCTTTCAGTCGGTCACTCTCGACGTCACGTCGGATGACCGACGAATTGGGATCTCGCTTAGAGAGACCAATCTACTTCGAGCGTAAACTAAACGAGCCAATGCACATTGGCATGCGATTATTGCATCCAGCATTATTGCCTCTCCAGAAACTATGTCGCTGCAATCGCTGCTAACCACGACCCCGTAGAAGGGAAGTGGTTAGCATGACCTGGTCATCAGGTTCCTTAAGGGGGCGAGAAGGCTATATCCTCCACGGCCCCCATCTATACCCTCTTGGGACCTGACGCGTCGGTCATCCGACGTGACGTCTCCGTTCCCTCCTTCAGGGAACGAGGGTTACCATACGTAACCGAGACGTTCAACTCACTGAATCAACGATCTGGTCACAGTCATTAACAGCTCACTTGATGAGAAGAAGACTAATGACCTAACTTTAAAAGATGTAGAATATATCACACAAACATTTTCTTTTTTATGTTTTCATGATACTTTTATGGTGCTTTCTGTAAAGGAAAAAAGCTTCAGTTCCCATTCATTGTTATTAATGAATAACAATGATTCAAAATGTTCCACAAAAAAAACAACAACAACTAATTAAATCACATTAACACGATCCAACCATTAACCAATGTCTTCTTATAAATTCATAATAAATTCAAGTAACTTCATTATGTGATATAATAAAGCAAAGATAATTGGGCATGTTTGTAAATTACCTTTAAGTCTTTGAAGAATTTGGGGTGCTGATTGACTTCGATTTTACTTTTACTGTATGTTTTCCTGTACTGGACGATCTTCTGAAATTCATTCTTCACTACTAAATGGTGACAAAGGGGGAAAAATCTGTGATTAAGGACATTTATAATAGACCCCCTACACTCTATGAACTCAACTGCAATGCCTTTATGCATTACTGCACAAGCAAGCCAAGCAGCAACAGGTTTGAATGTAATGCTCAGCTGATTAAAAATGCATAAACTGTATGAAACGCTTGACCATGCTTGAATGAAGCAGTGAAACTGTGATATACTGTAATCAACTGTGCTCAATCAAGCAACCATTTCTGAAACACTGACGACTACAAATAAGTTTGGTGCAGCAGCATCACAAAACACATCAGACGAGAGCATCCACGTACCGTCCACCTCTGCTGTCAGACCTTTAACTGAAGCTGCGGGAAAACCACAGAAACACACAATCAGAAGGCATTCGATCAAATCAGCCCCAAAAACATCTATCACATCTTCCCATCCAATGACATTTTGATTAGAGTACCTCCAGGAACAGTCTCGAATTCTGCAAGCTCCAGGAAAAAGGTGGCCAAACGTGGTTCTCGCAACATGATCTGCTCCACAAGGGCATGCAGCAAGGTGAACTTCCGATTGTTCCCGCGCAGCTGAGAAAGCTGGGAAAAGGAGGGAAAATAATGAATGTGTTTGTGGAAGTTTCTCCATGCACCTGCGCTTGAGAAAAGATGATACATGTGCTCTGTTCCAAAACCTATGTAGACAGCATTTTAAGGCATTGGAGACACTTACATTGATTCAGCCAAAATGCTGTGTCAATCCCAAAATTACAAAATTACATTAAAAAAAATGTATAAAATATATAATTATATTAAAAAATAATACAAATTAAGATGGCAGATATATATATATATATTCCATTCAATACCGAAAAATTATTGAAATATATAAATAAAACAATTGGATATGATAATAAAATGTTGGTTTATAAAAAATATTATATTTAATAAATAAATAAGTAAATAAATAAGACTATAAAATAATTGGTTGATAAAATATGAAAAATACATACATACATATTAATTAATTAATGATAACACAATAATTAGTTAATAAAATGATTAATAAAAATAATTTGGTGTAATAAAAAATATTATTTTATAAGTGAAACTAAATGGAAACTAATCCTAAAAACAACAAAAAAATGTTGCTACTTTTGCTACATAATATTTATATATATGTTACATGTATGCCTTGTTTTCTGTTCTCTCCATTGTGACCTGGTTTTCATGAGTTGCCTGATTATGTCATTCAGTTCACCTGTTGTCTCTTAATCATCTCATTAGTTCCCTTTGTTTGGTTTATGCTTATAACTCATCAGTTCTCCCCTTAGTCTTCGTCCATTCTCCGTCTATGTTAAGTTGGTTTCTGTGCCTGTTCTTCTGGATTTATCTGATTAAAAGACTTTTCGTTTCATCTTCACGCAAATTCATTCCATACAGAAGCATGAGAGAAGAACGGACCAACTACAGTTTTTGTATTTTTTTTTGCGGCGTTTTGTTCCTGCCCTGGTTCCTGTCAGTCCCTCAGCTCACCCTCAGTTAGCATCATCTGGGCGCTCTGATCCACCTTGGGACTTCCAGTCTCCAGCTCCGCCTAGGTGTGAGGATCCCCTGTCTCCGCCTCCAGTCTCCGAGTCCTGGCCTCCACCCCGGTCCTTCGATGGACATTCCTGCTGTGGCCCTGCTATGCCTGGAGCAGGGTGACCGTCCGCTGGAAGACCACACACGGGACTTTTTACATCTCGTGTGCCTGACTCATTACCCTGATTGCTCGCTCTGTGTTTTTTACCACGCCAGCCTGAGCGAACGGTCGAAGGCACGTGTTCCAGCGGACGGTCCTAGGGACAATTTCGCTGCATTTGTGGAGTGGGTGCTGAAGAATAATGGACTGTATTTCTCCGTCTGCCCCGCTGATGAGGACATCTCCAGCCCCACTCCCAACCCTGGCTGGATGACCAGCCAGCAGTCATCCCGATGCACGGAGGTATCGCCTGAGCCCACCGCAGATGGAGAACCTGAGCCTGCCGTGACATGTGAGCCAGTGCAGAAACACGCAACTGAACAGATCATCGCCCCGGAACCTGAGCCTCGAGAGTCGTCTGACGATGGGTCCGCTGGTTCCGTCCAGCCCTGAATCTTCTGTGTCTTCGCTGGTTCCGTCCAGTTCTGAATCTCCTGTGTCTCCGCTGGTTCCGCCCAGCTCCTGTTCTCCTGTGTTCCCTCCCAGCCTCCCTCTCCCGCCTCCTCTTCAAAGACCAGCCAGTTCCTCAGCCCAATCCCCGCTGGTGCCTGTCAGTCCCTCAGCTCACCCTCAGTCAGCGCCATCTGGGCG